ACATTCCAAGGACAGCATCTGCTCAGCCCCCAGATGGACTGTGTGAAAGTCAAGAGAAAGAGACTGGCCCCTCCCTGAGGGCATGATGGTTACTGTTGCTGTCCTTGGGGGATTAGAGTTGGTCTGGCGAGATTCTGTCTACTAGGTGCAAGCTAATAAAGAAGCTGAGCTGATTTCTGGACTGTCTCCTGTGATTCTTGGGCTGAACCTGACACCTTTTTGAGGGAAGATATGCATAAAAAATTGCGTAAGTCCTCCAGCAGATTTAACTTAAAGAAACCACACCATGCACAAAGAACCTAAAAGAGAGAACAGGCCCATGTAATTTGCATCATTATTCCGCCTACTGTGGCTCCTTGTCTTTCAAAATATGTAGGTGGAGCCGACTTCTGAGTGAGGGAATGGCAAGCTAAGACATCTCTGAAGGAGCAGAGACAACACTGTGGACAAGACCAACGGACCAGCGACGAGTCTGGTCCAATGGAGCCTCTGTGGATAAGGAGAGGACGAGAGATTGCCCACATGCTCCAGACAGTTGCTCCTCACAAGGAAACCCCAGGACAGCCGTCGACTCATGGGTTTGAGTGCCGGGAGACAAGAAAAGCCATCAAGCTCTCAACGACAGAGGAGCCTATATGGACACTGGGTTTGTCAAGCCTCATTTTCTAAACACTTTTGGAATATAACTATTTTAAAGTTAAAAAAGGTCTTCCAAGCAACAAGTGTAAAAAACTACCTGGTGAGTGATCCTTCATTCCAGAAAGAAGGGAAACATTAATTAACAATTTAAAGATTTAAACGTACATAGTAAACAGCAAAAAGCTATATAAGAATTTAATCCAAGAAAGTTTGAAACAAACTAAAGGACCAGACAAATTTGAAATATTTCAATATTTGAAATATTATGACTTTTGCTATAAGACTTTTGAAATAATTAAGAAGAAAATGATATCTTTGTGGGAACAGAAATTGTTTAGTCTTTCAGGAAAAACAAAGAAGCAAAACAATTTGAGGCAGATTATGTCATACAGAAATGAGACACTAGAGGGGACTAAAGACCCCAGGCAGAGGGAAAAAAAGAAAGAAAAGTCTGCTTTTTACTTTTGAATTGGATGATCAGCAGTGACTTGTAAAAATGACAGATAAGATACTACATTGGAGACAATTCAAGGGATTTTTGAAGAAATGGGAAAGAAACTTGCAGTTAAAATGAAAACAATATCTGCCTATGCAAATGTGTTATTCAAAAAAGATTTTAAAGAAGAAAAGAAAGATGTGAGGGAGAATAATTTGGAAGAATTTACAGGCTGACAGGATGAAGAGGTAAAACTAATCTTAACCTATGCAGAAATATCAGAAAATAAAACAGAAGTCGTGAACTATAAGACAGAGATGAAAACTAAAGTGGAAATACAAATGATAACCCAAGAGATGAAAAATGACCTGGGAAATGGCTTGTAAATTATTGGATTTACAAAAGAGGGTTATTAAAGCCGGGAAGAAACTCCTGAGATGGGAGAAAGAAAATGGATGGAGATTTTGCTTTTGGATGAAGCAAAGATTAAGACTGTTAGAAGCAAAATAAAGGAATATGGAGTTAACCTGTTTGATCAGGGTTAAAATAAGAAATACGTTTATAAAGTTCTGGGTACCCTTTATGGACTTTTTGCTGAGCCTGGACAAAAACGTTTAATGATTTTTGGATTTGTGGTTGGATAAGTGTTGGATATGGGAAGAAGTGATTTATGTAATATACAGTGGGGCAAAAAAGTATTTAGTCAGCTACCAATTGTGCATGTTCTCCCACTTAAAAAGATGAGAGA